CCATTCGTTTGTTGATGGACACTTGGGTTGTTTCCAACTCTTTGCTATTGTGAACAAAGCCACAATAAACTTGGGTGAGCATATATCTGCTTGGGTGGCAGTTCTGGTTTCTTTGGGGTTTATTCCCAGTTGTGGAATTGCTAGGTCAAATGGTATCTCTATTTGCAACTTTTTGAGAAAGTGCCATACAGCTTTCCACAGTGGTTGCACCTTTTTACACTTCCACCAACAGTGAATAAGTGTTCCAATTTCTCCACAACCTCACCAGCATTTGTTGCTTGGGGAAATGATAAAATGATAATTCTTAATTGGGGAATTCATATGTTTTTGTTGGTTTTAAGTTCTTTTTATTTTTATTGGTTTGCATACAAAATTAATATGCATTATATTTAATTTATATAGCTCACTTTTCACACATTCTTTCCTTCACATTATTTTTCATAATATTACTCCCATATGTTGAAGGGTCTTTTTAAAAACTTTAAAAAAAATTTCATTCTATTATTTTTTGTGTGTGTACCGTCAAATCGGATCTGACTGGTACAGGAGGAGATTGCCCCTCCTTCTCCAGCACAGCATCTGGTGGATTTGAACCATATCTCTGGGATTGCAGTGCAGCTTCTTGCCATCAGGACTCCAGAGCTCCCTTGTTAAGCTTTTTAAAATAAAACTGTTATTGTAGAATGAGTAGAAGGATCCAGGAGGGGTGGGAGAGGCTGGAAACAGAGGGATGAGGATGTGCAGGGGAAGGGGGGATTAATTATGGGGTTGTACAATGTGAAAGAAATGGAAAGAATTTGTTTGAATTTGCGTTCGAATTCTGTAAATAAAACGGTAGAGGAATGTTTCTTTCTTGACTTGGACGTGGTTCATCACCAGAAACTGGTGAGGGACGCATTGGGTATTTGTCTCGTTCATGACCTTTCAGTTCCCCCAGGATGGGGCGCTGTCTCACCGGCGTGTGTCCTGTTCTAGGTTGGAAGGATGTATGCTGACGAGCGCCTGCTGTGAGAATCTGGCCTCTGTTTTTATCCGGAACAGGACACTGAAGACACTGAATCTGCTAGGCAATGGGCTAGGCGAAGAAGGGGTCATGAAACTGCTGGTGGGCTTGGGCCACCCCGACTGTGTGCTGGAGCAAATTGGGTAAGCTGGACGCTGTTTTACCTGACAATGAATGCTTGCGTGGGGCACATGCTGGGAATTAGAATCCACCAAGGATGTGGAGGAAGGTGGGTCTAGAGATGCACTTCTGAAAGGTCACGAAGAGCCGCATAGGGAGTAGTTTTATGCTGGTTTCAGTTCAAATCCTGTCAACATGTCTTGAAAATTCCTGGCCATCTGGAACATTTTCTTCATACCCACCTCAGTTTCTTGGAAACAACGTCCAGGTTGGTGTGTAATCACTCAGGGTCAATTTGTTCTCTACTTGGTTTTCTCAGCGGAAGAAGGGGAACCAAGGCATCTCAGAACTCTTGGAGAAAGTGAATTCACTCACAACCTTGGGGTGCTTGGGGGTCCCACAAAAACCATTCCCATCACCCTCTACAAGCCTTCATCACGAAGGTGGCGATCGAGGTGAATTCTCCGAAGCATTGTTGTTGTGGTTGTGAGGTGTTGTCAAGTCCAGAACGAGTCAGGGAGCCTTTGAGCTACAGAAAGGCACTTGGCCCTCTCCTGTCCATCCTGGCACTCTCTGACACACTCGAGCCGTTGTCCCAGCCGCACGGCCGATGCATCTTGTTGAAAACGGTCCTCTTTCTCCGATCCTCCACCTTGCCCAAGGTGACACCTTCTTGCAAAGCTGGTGTCTCCTGACAGCACGCGCAAGACGGGAGAGGAAGTCTCACAGACCTTACCTCTAAGGAGTGCTCTGGTTGTGTTTCCTCCAAGGCAGGCTGCTTGTTCCTCTGGCTCTCAACCCTCTTCCCTCGCACAGTTCAAAGTCATCTCATTTAGCGTCCAGCTTTCAGCTGAATAGGAAGTAACCGACAGGACCATGGCTAGACTCAGGTGCATGTTGGTGTTAAAACGGGTACCGTTACTCTTAGGGCTTTGAAGAGGTCCTTGACAGCAGATTTTTCCTCATTCAACACACCTTTTGAGTTGAGTGCTGCTACCGTGCATGCTGGGTGTAGATCCCAGTCACATGAAACCCTTGACAGTGTCCATCTTGTCGTCTGTCACCACGCTGCCTCTTGGTCCAGTGGTGAGGATTTTTGTTCTCTTGAGGTTGAACCACAGTCTCTATGGAAGCTTTTATTGCCTAAAGCAAATACTTCTCGTCCTCTTCATTTCAGAAAAGGCAGGTTTGTGTCGTCTGCATGATGCAGCTCGTTGAGGACTCTTTCTCCAATGCTGATGTCACCTGATAGACAGTCCAGCTTCTCGAATGTTCTGCTCAGCAAATACTGAGCAGGTCCAACAGCAAAAACAGGAAAAATCTAATACACACCTTTCCCAGTTTTAAACCTCACAGTCTTCCTTGGTTGCGATACCTGCTTTTTGGTTTATGTGTAGGTTTTGCATGAGCAAAACGAAGTGTTCTGGGATCCCGTTCTTAACGTCATCTGTAATTTGCTATGATCCACACATAGTTAATCAAATACAGATAGACATCCTTCCGGTATTGTGTCAATATCTGCCTGACATAACAAAGACATCCTCATTGTGCAGCCTCTTCTGAATACATCTGGGATGTCTGACAGTTCCCTGATAGTGTGCTGGCCTAGTCAGTTTTTAAATAATAATCTTCAGCAAAATTTGACTTGCATGGGTTCTTGATAGGGTTCAATAATGTCCACATTTGGCTGAGTCACCTTATTCTGGGGGGTTGGGAACAAACACAGATCTCTTCTATGCATATCCAGATGAATATAAGGGTCTATTCAAACCTTACAAACTCTTCTGTTGCTCATTCTTTGCCCTGACTCTTTTAACCTTCTCATATACTGTGTAATGCATCTACTGTTGTGTATCTCTTTCCATAAGAATGTAATCTCCATCACACAAAGGCGGGAGGTGTGTGCGTGTATGAACATGAGTTAGAGAAAGCTTTCTCACTCTCACTTTTAAAAAACATACCCTCTCAAGGATACCTGTGTACAATTCAGCAAAGTTGACATTACAGTTGTACAAACACTATGCTATCGTCTTCCGTCTTGCTAATTGCTTCATCACTGTTAACAAAGCTCCTTGGTTCCCAAGCAAAACCTCCTCTTTTCTGCTTCTCTACCAGCTCTGTTTTGTATTTTGTTTTTGTTTTTTGCTGCTATGAGGAAGCCAGAAAATCTTTGGTTTCAGAGAGTTGGACAATGACTAGGGAGGATTGAAGGAGAATTGACGCCTTTGAGCTGTGGTGCTGGAGAAGAGTACTGAATGTACCATGGACTGCTAAGAAAACAGATTCATCGTAAAGAAGGTTAAACCAGGCTGCTCCTTGGAGGCAAGGATTCTGGGGCTTCGTCTGACATACTTTGGACATGTTGTAAGAAGAGACAGGTCATTAGAGAGGGCCATCATGCTGGGTAGAGTAGAGGGACAGCGCAGGAGGGGAAGACCCTCTATGAGGTGGATTGATTCAGTGACTGGGGTAATTGGGATGGGTGTGTCAAAGGCAATGCGATTGGCACAGGATACAGCACGGTTTAGGGCTGTTGCACATAGGGTCGCTATGAGTCGCAAACGACTCGACGGCACATAACAACAACAACAAGTGAAGTTGTATAACATTTTTCCTTTTGTGTTGGACTTCTTTCACTAAGCTTGTTTGCAAGGTCACCCACGGTGTGGCGCGCACCAGGACTTCACTGATAACCATCTGGATGAGAATTAAGTGCATACAGCCCGCACTTTGTTCACACTTTCATCTACTGGTGGCCATTCCAGGTCCTCCTACCCTTTTGAATGGAAATGAACACCTTTTGGTTGAAATGAACACCAGCGTTTAGCTTTTTGTTCATGTTCTTGCCTGCACTTCTGGTTATAGAACTGGGACTGGAGTTGCTGGGTTATCATTTGATATTTCCATGCTCAACGTTTTGAGGACCCATTTCTTCAGGGGCTGTACCATTTTTTAAAAAATTTTTATTGTATTATTTTTACGTGTACTGTCAAATCAGATCTGACTGGTACAGGAGGAGATTGCCCCCTCCTTCTCCAGCAGAGCATCTGGTGGATTAGAACCACGTACTTCTGGGATTGCAGTGCAGCATCTTGCCACTAGGCCACCTGAGCTCCCTGGGCTGTACCATTTTTATGTTCCCACAATGTATGAGGGTTCCAGTCTCTTGACAACATGGTCACACTTATTTATAAATACCCTGTCAACGATTTCCCCTCCGAGGCCATATCCTAGTACCTAGGGCTTCCCTAAAGGTGGCTGTTGGTTAAAACCTACTCACAGCTGACCCTCCAGCGGTTTTCAGAGGCAGGACATTATGTGGGAGGGGCCTCTTCAGCCTCCTCTCAGGGAGCAGCTGGTGGATTCAAACCACATACCTCTGCATCGGCCGCACAACGCCTCACCAGTAGGCCACCAGAGCGCCATTTTCACCAAAGGCAGATGAAAGAGATAAGAGCAGTTCTGGTTATAAAGTCTTCCCTAGATGCTGATGGAGTCACTCAGAGAAGGCCCTAGAAAGATCGTTGAGACGATGAGTTTTCTTTGCTTTTTAAGAAGCTGCATCCAATGTTTAGAAAAGCCGTCTTTTGTTTTCCAGCCTTGTCGACGTATTTATGCTGAACCTTGGCTCTTAGTATTTTATTCTGTAAAAATCCCATTACTCTTAACTTCAACTTGTTGGGATTTTTGGCATACGCTTGCTCCAGCGTTTAACAAGGAACTCTGTAGCTACTGCAAGAATGAAGCTTTTTAGTCCAGAAAATATGTACTTTTTTTTTTTTATATACACAGAGCAAGGGTAGAATGGCCAGAGCGCATGTGTGAGGTCACCGACACTTTTGATGCCACGCTTTGACCCTATTGTAATTGGATTTCCTCCCTGGGCTTTCACAGGCTTCAGACGAATCACGTAGGTGCCAGGACCTTGAAGTGGCTAAAAACTGTGCAAAAGAACAAAACCAGCCTGGTCTTCGTGGAGCAGTCCTGGACTAAGAATGACCTGAGACTCGGTAAGAATAGAGGTCAACATGCTACTTTCCTGTCGGCTGGCCAACCACGTAACTCTGCCTGGCATAAGATTGCTTCACAGATGCCGGGAGTGACCACAGAAGCCACTGAAGAAGAACAAGAGGAGGAATAGGCAATGGAATCAGATGCTTGACCATTCTTTCCATCATGCCGGACACAATGTGTCCAACGCAAACCATCAACATGATCGGGGCGCAAGGAAATGAGAGACGCATTTTACCTCCTCCCCTCCTCGGGCCTTCTCCCCTCGGCCCTGTCCTCCTCATCTCTGTATTGTGTTTGCGACTTGGCCCAAGCCAATCACTAGTCATAAATTCCCCACACGGTCTCACAAGAACCTTGAAAGAATTGTCAAGGATTAAAAGGTGAAAATGCATTGAAAAATAGAAAGTGTGTTCGTTTTTTTTAATCGATGAATTTTGTAGACTAACAACTGGAATCCTTTCCATCTCCCACAGAGGCTGAGATGTCTTAAAGCAAAACTCACTCCTCTCTTGAATCTTAATTCAGCAGCACTTTGGGCATCATTGAGCTGTTTGGTCGGTAGCACCTAGTGTGGACTCGACAGACATAGCTCTGTGGTTGAGCTGAGCTCACTCCTCGCTGACCCTCTACTGAATTTCCAGGCTGTAAATTGCATGGGAGGAGATTTCTCACTTTTTGGGTCACGGCTGACTTTTTAACTATTCCATCACCAGGGTTACTTATTCTGTTACGTGCCATTGAGTCTAGTGCAACCTAGTGACCGTCTGAACACTGAACTTCGTCCTACCCTGCTCCATCATCTGTGACATGCTTGAGCCCAGAGAAGCAGTCACAGCTCGCCTTCCACAGTCATGATCTTGAGTTACGCCCTCAGACTCCAGTTCATTTCTTTCCAAGGCCTCACAGACACACCAGATGCATACAAGTCGTGGCTGTGACCCTCCCCTGTCCTAATCCTTTCAGGCACCAACAAAATTGAACTCCTTCCTGTTCCAATTAGCCAAACCAAAATTTTGGACACTTTGTCCTGGAGCAGGTCTGACTGTCCCTAAAGCGGAGGCTGAATGAAACAATAGCTAATCAAAGGTCAAGATTCAAAGATAGGGGACGGGCCTCAAGGTTGGAAGGCCCTTACGACGCCCAGTCGTAACAAGCCTTCATAAATCTGAGAGCTTGTAGACCATGCGTGCAAAGTTGCTTTGGACATGAGATGATGTTTCTTACAAAATAAGGCAACTATATACTTCCAGAAATGCCTTCCAGAAAAAAAATGAAAATGTGCGGGTCGAAGCCTATGCACAGCCGTTCATGGCAGTTGCTGAGACTACCTGGAAGGTTAAGGTTCCTCCCTGGGGCCCCTCTCCCCGCATTTCCATGTGTCCCGTTTCCCATTCTTGCCCAGATTCTCAGTTTCAGGCAAATGCGTCCCTTTTGGTTTCTTCTTGTTCTGAAGAACACATCTTGTCTGGGTTCATCAGGACAGCATGGGTGGCTGTGATGGTCTCAGGGACACACGAGGGGGTGTCAACGAGCTGTATTCTTGGCGGAATCCCTGCAGGACAAGTGGCGTGGAGCCTCTGGCCGAGAACATGACGATGAACGTGGCGTCTGGGGTTGACCAGAGAAAGGCACTACTTCCATTTTGGGCTGGAGAGTGACAGAATCATTTCTTTGACGGGAATCGTGTTGTGTGTGTCGTCCCAAGCAGTCTTGCGAGCAGTATAAACATCTGCCGTGACACTGAGTATCCAACAGGCGTAGCAAGGACCTATTATACCAGGGGGCCTCCTGGGGACACATTGCACCTTCTCTCTCAGCGACAGCCTGCCAGCTGCTCAGGACAGGTGAGCACAGTGTTGCTATGTAATACTTGAGTGCCATCGAGTCGTAGGCGACTGACAGTGACAATATGAACAAAAGACCTGGACACCTGTATCACTTTCTTCCTTTCTCCAGGTTCATAGGGCTCCCAGAGGCAAGCTAGTATGGAAGTAGATGCCACTCCTGCTTCCAAATGTAATACCAGGTGGGTGTACTAGGCAAGCTTACACTTGAGAGTGGACAGGGCTTCCTTTGGTCTAAAGCTGGCACTGTACAGGGTAGTCCAGTGGCCGTGAAGAATCAGAGTTGACCACAGCCATGTGGGTGACAATCACACGTGTGGACCTCAACCTGTGTCCAAACCTGGTTGGAGAGACATGACAGGAGAGAGAAGCACCGGGCAGAGTTCTACACTTGAGGAGGCAAAGAAGGTTCTCAGAGCCCCTTCCCCAATGCTGCTTCAAGCACGAGAGGAGACGGGAAGAGGGGTGGCCTGTGGGCCAACAGGGCTGTGTCCGGGCAGGACCCAGCAGCCTTCCTGCTTAGCCACCCTGGACAAAGGAGCCGAGAATTTACTCTTCTCCTGAAAATGGAGATGCAACTCGATTCCACAGTGGGACACACGCTTAGGAGGATATACACCAAACCGGTGTTAGTCTCACAATGACTGCGTTTGTCGTGGTTCTTCCCTACAAGGTGAGGTTCATCAATCCTGGCGTCAAGTCACTCTTGTCCCCCCCACCCCATACATAATTGGGATAAATGAACTTGAGTCGATGATGAAGTGAAAGAATCAGATGGAGATGCATCCCATCCCCTGTTATCGAAGTTCCTCGGACGCGCTGGGGTTGCAGCTGCAGGACCCTCCCTCCCAGGCTCACACTGGAAATTCCTCCTCTGACCTCGCTTATGTATACCGGTCTACCTATTTGCTATCTGTGAATTTTATTTTCTATTTACATTCAATTTCTACATACTCGATGTATCTTGCTCTCCACATGGACCTGATTACCTCATAAGTAATACCAAGGTATGAAAACACTTTGTCTTTTGTTTTTCCCAAAGGTAAAATATGTGTGTGTGTGTGTATATATATATACACACACACACACACACATATATATATGTATGTGTGTATATGTGTATATGTATGTGTGTGTATATATATGTATATATATGTGTGTGTGTATATATATTATATATATATATATACATACAATCTTAAAAAGTCGTATTTCAAAAGGATAGATGTCCTTCCCTGAAAAGAAATATGGAGAGAGGCTGAGTGCTAATGAGGTGAGACTCTGACCTTTTATTTTCTGTATAAAACCCTGGTTGGCTTTGGGAAGAACTTCTTGACTATGTTCAGGCTGTGCCGTATATAAATTTTTTCCAAATTAAAAAAAAAAAGGTCATGAATAGAGGAGTCGAAGGGACTTGAGGAAGCAGATGTCCACGGTGTTGGAAATGGAAGCCACCAATCGTGACGGAGGACTGATGAAGGCAGAGAGGTGTGATCGAGTGTAAAGAAGAGGAACCGTTTGGGTTAATTTGACTTAACGTGACAATTTAATAAACCGTATTTATGATACCTCACAGTATAGTGATTTGATCACTCCCTTGGATTTCGTATATTAAGATAAAGATGCATTTTAATGCTCTGTTTCCAAACTCAACCGTGAAGGTGGAGTTGATTGTGGCACACGGTATCCTCATGTGTAAGAGTAGAACGACCCCGTAGGTTTCCTTGACCATGGTCCTGTGGAAGCGGACCCACCAACTCTTTCACAGCATGGCTCAGAGGTTTCACTAGACGGGCTCAGTTCACCAACCTTTCAGCGAAGTCAAGTCCTTATTCTTTGTACTATTTCCCCGTCTGGTTAATTAGTGATAAAATAAGTGATAATACATAAGGAATGGTTGGATTTGGAATGCTTTTTTTAATTAGAAAGTAGTTCCACTCTCAGTTGAATGGTAAAAACAAGAATAGAAAAATACAGACGAATGTTTGACCTACAGAAATCAGTGCACTAAATAGACATATTGTGGCACCAGCTTACTATATCAGAACATTGTGGTTTCTTCAATCCAAGCTATTACACTCCAGTACAAACACGAGGAACATAAATCCATTCTTTTCAAAGTGTCTGAGTGTCATTTATTTGTCCTTCCAAGTAGAGGTAGACTCAGTATTTTCAACAGAAGGAGATAGAAGATGCAGACAAGGCAAACAGCAAACATTGAGTCATACTCCACAATTCTATTCGCAGGACATGAAAAAGGGGTAGCCAGTCGCTTACTCTCTGCACAAGGAGTGTAATTGAAAGACAGTGTGAGGAAGAAGGAGAAATGCCCATCCTGATCAAAGAGAAGTCTTTCGGAGAGGATGACCTCAGTTTCCTATCAGGCCTCTGATCTGGAACTCCTCTTCAATCCAAGGGTAGTTACTGATGCTCAGACGGAGATTTTGCTCTCCCACATGCAACAGCAGCAACTGGCTTTCCTCATCAAAGTCTGTTTTATTTAACCTTAAGATAGAATAAAGGTTTGTTTTTTAATGTTAGCCACACCTGGGTCTCTGCCTCTGTGGTGGCTGACTCGGAAGAAGCTGCGTTGTCATCTCAAAGGCACATGGTTTGAATTCGCTAAGTGCTTGATGGGAGAAGGACCAGAGGTTCCCTCCCATGTGACTCACGGCCTCTGAAAAGCCCCCCCACCCCGGGTCAGCTCTGCATCCATTCTGATTGGACGGCATACAACATCGTCATCTCAATGCACAAACAAGTCTGTCTTGGAGTCAAGTGCAAGCAGGGTGCTTTTTAGAGACAAAGACGGTGACACTTTGTCTTATACTTTGGACAGGCTGTCAGAGGAGCCTTTCTGTGGAAAAAGACCTCACAGGGGAGAGGGGTAGGGTCAGAACGAGAGAGGAAGGCTCCCTTAAAGGAGAGTAAGCTTCACAAGGACAGGAAATGGAACCATTTATTTAGAGCCATGCCCTTGGCATGCCCTCTAGGAATTGGCAAAGAGCAGCATTCAAGTATTAACAACTCAGATGCTAACTATTTATTGCTGAAGTGCTTATGTGGGGTTCTGCAAATTACCTGTATTTGCATGCCAAGGCTATGGCCAACCTGTTATATGCTGTCCTTTTACCACTATTTTACCAGCTCCCTGGCATCTTTATGAGAAATGCAAGCAGGAGATGGTGTTTACCATCATCGCAGGGTTGCTGTCCGGGGGACGGGCTGCTGGTGTCCACATGGGAGTAAGAGCGGAGCTGTAACCCGTAAGGTCTATGGTGGCCAATTCTCCACGGACTCTCTGAATGAACTCAGGCCTCTACCCTTTCAGTTAAGAGTTGAACACATTATGTCACAACAAGATACAAGTAAATAACCCAATTGAAAAATGGGCACAGGATATGAACAGACACTTCACCGAAGAAGACATTCAGATGGCTAATAAGCACATGAAGAAATGTTCAAAATCACTAGCTCTGAGAGAGATGCAAATCAAAACTACTATGAGATATCATCTCACCCCATTAAGAATAGTAAAAAAATTTTTTTAATATTTTTTTTAATGTCCAGGTTGAATTTATTTAATGGAGGAAAATAACCATTAAGAATAGTAAAATTTAACAGAACAGCAAGCAACAAATGCTGGCGAGGTTGTGGAGAAACCGGAACACTGATTCACTGTTGATGAGAATGTAAAATGGTGCAACCACTGTGGAAGGTGGTATGGCGCTTTCTCAAAAAGGTGGAAATAGAAATACCATTTGACCCAGCAATTCCTCTACTGGGAATATACCCTAAAGAAACCATAACTGCCACCCAGGCAGACATATGCACACCCATGTTTATCGTGGCTTTGTTCACAATAGTAAGGAGTTGGAAACAACCTAACTGCCCATCAACAAACGAATGGAGAGAGAAACTGTGGTATATTCACACAATGGAATATTATGCTGCATTGAAAAACAAGGAACTCATGAAATATTATTCTAAATGGGTGACCCTGGAGGGCGTTAACACTGAGTGAAATATCTCAGTCATAAAAGGACAAATATTGCATAGTGCTGCCACTGCTGTAAAACGGATTGACATCGGAGTTGAGGGGAGACTAAGAAAGATGGGATAAAGTGTGTATTACATTGAAACAAATGAGAGAGAACCGTTTAAAAGGAATGTATGATTAGGTATTATTGTCATGACCAGAGTCCAGAACGAAGGCTGCATAGTGCAGCGGACTTGTGGGGAGGGATTGCATAACAATGAAAGAATTTTTCTTTAACTTTTAAAAGAGAAAAACAAAGTGGAGGGGAGGGGTGGGCAGGGAGAAAAGTTAGACAACGAATGAATGGAAATCCAAAGTCTCTGTAAACTTTCATTAAATAAATTAAAAAAAACAAACTTGAGCATGTTATCTGTGTGTATCTCCTGAGGACCCCGGTGCTTATAATATGGGAGTGGTTCTTCCTTGAGGTGGTTCTGCGTACAAAATTGTGTGGGTATTTCTCATGATGCTGTTGATGTGGTAAGACGCGTGACTGGCAAAGGCCAGGGAGGCTTCACAACATCTCACAAGGCACAGGGTACCACCGACGCCTCCTCCTGCCCACATCCCTCCTGCCACTGATGACTATGTGACAGAAAGATGATCTCGGCCACATGTCAATGGTGCCAAAGCGAAGCATTCAGTAGTGGACTTGACTACTTGCTGAGAGACTGGTGTTTCTTATCTACGTTTCAGTGCCTTAGACGGGCTTAGAGGTCCATTTCTGAAAGGTCACTGCCTTGAGGGCGCTATGGAGGGTTCTACTCTGTAAGCTATGGGGGCACCGTGAGTCCGAGGCCATCTGATGGCAACGAACAGCAGCCTAATGGACATTGTCGCCTTGACGTCACGCACCATGAAAAGCAGCAATGTCCACTCACCCCAGAGTCTGCAGGGCGCAGTCCGCATGGCTCAGTGCGCTGCACAGCACCTTCACGTCTTGGTGGCTGAAGGCGATCATACCCAGGTTCAGAATCCTCAGTGTTTTGCAGGTGGTGATAACAGACGCTATATCCTCACAGATGGCAGAGGTGAGACCACACATTTCCAACCTGTGACGGGAAATGCAGGAGAGAAACGGCCTCTCATCTTGGCAGGCTGGAAGGCAGACCCCTTTTTACACAAACCCTGTGTGTTTGAACAGGAGGCTTGAGTCTAAACCAGTTATTTTCAGTGGGGTAGTTGTGCTGCCTTGGGACGTGTGGTAATGTTTGAATATATTATTCACACCTAAAACAAACAGATTCACCCTGGTGAGGGTTAAACCAGGCTGCTCCTTGGAGGCAAGGATTCTGGGGCTTCGTCTGACATGCTTTGGTCATGTTGTAAGGAGGGACCGGTCCTTGGAGAGGGACATCATGCTTGGGAGGGTGGAGGGACGGCGCAAGAGGGGAAGACTCTCTATGAGATGGATTGATTCAGTGACTGGGGTAATCAGGATGGGTGTGTCAGAGGCAGTGCGATTGGCACAGGATAGAGCAGGGTTTAGGGCTGTAGG